TGGCCACCATCATCCACAGATACTGGCGTTTAACTCGGGCTCCATCTGTGAACTTGCGGTGTTCTACTGCACACTCCACAGAGCAAGGCCTCCTCTGCCCCCATTCCCCCCACCCCCATATCCTCCCTTGACCCATTAGCATTCGGCAGATAACTACTCTCCACAGCCGATGGATGGGCAGAGTCAGGAAGACAGCCTGCTGTTTCCCCTTCTCACTGGAGAACCCAGAGGTTTTTAGCACTTTAGGCAGAACAGCACATGCTAAATAACAGGGACGGGCAAGGGCAAGATGCCAGCCCAAGACTCGCTGTCCAGAATTCACTGCACATTTCAAGATGGGGCCCGCAGAGCGCTGCACCACGGGTAGAGTCCCTCTGTGCACGGGGCGCTGAGTGACTACACTGATTCCAGACAGCAGCGTGAAGCTGGCCGTGGCTCTGGAAGCAAGAAGCAAGGGTACTGGAACCAAAATGTCTGTTAGGGAGAACAAACCTGGCTTTACCTTATTAACAGACTTCAATACCTTGGATAATTCAGGTCCTTTCCTTGGAGAGGACGGTGGGGTTAAATGCCTCAGACCTTGCTGAGGTGGGAAATCCATTCCCACAAACATCCAACTCAGTGAGGTGGTGCTCACTCTTAGACTCACGTCTACCTTCTCCATACTTCCCTACAAAACCCTTCCCCCCACCCCTAAATCCAACTCCAGGCGAGCAAAGGAGACAAAGGGCTCATGTCACATTCTAGAACGCAGGGAGAGCTAGTAGGTAGGACGAGCTGTTACACTTGGAAACTAGCTTTCTCTGCTTGATGGAAGGAAAGGGGTCTCCATTCTGTGGCAGACAAGGTCATTCCAGGCTCTTGGATCCTAAGGAAAGGACAGGGCTTCCCGTGGATCATCCATTCCAAAGTCTTCCAAAGCTCCTGGCACGTTTCAGTAGATCAGTGAGCGGTGCCCAGGGGAACTACCATCCCGCCTCCCATTCTAGACCAGGCTCCTTCCTAGTATCGAGCATGGCAATTTATTTTATTAATGTAAACATGAGGGAAGATATATAATTTCTGCAGGTCAATGGAAGCATCCCCTGCAGGCTAGGTACTCTCATGCTACCGTCTTTGCCAGCAAGACTGAAGGGGAGGTGGCAGCAAGAGGCAGCCTGGGGCCCGTGGTGGCAGGCCTTTGGGCCGGCTGGAAGGAGATGACCACTTTTGCTGGTGAATTTCCAACTGTCCTGATTCTTTCCATCAAGACTCAGAATTCCACCACACTCAGTCCTAGCTCTGCCTTCTTTTCTTTAGAGGGAAGGGCGGACTAACACAGGCCAGCCGGTAGAATGAGGGCTCTGGACTCTGGAAACAGGGAGTCCTCCCCTCACTCCTCCCTCGAGCTGCTTAGCCTGGGGGAATGTTCTGGATGACGGTGGCCATCCTGTGAGGGACCCAGAGGCGCTCCACAGCTGAGGCAACCGTTCTAGGGGAGCAGCACTTGATCCCTAGAAGTCCTGATCCCACAGGCAGCACTGTGAACTAAGGGACAGCACGAAAGGCCGCTGTCCTCAAAGGTGCCAATGAGACCTATTTATCAGACCAGAATTTCTAGATGAGGGAATGAATCTTCCAGTCCATTCTGAAGATACTGGCTGGAGACAAATCATTTCCTGGAGTAAGAGGTAGGAAAGGAAAAACAGCAAAGACTCACTCTGATTCTAGAAAGGAGAAAAAAAACAAAGATTTTTCTTAGGTTATCTTTTACAAAGGCCTCTGGAATGGTAAAGCTAATTATTCCCCCCCTTTCCCTCCTTGTGAAGTTGAGGATGAAGCAGGGCAAGTGCTCTGCCACTTAGACCACACCCAGCCCTAAAGTCATCTTCATCATTTCTACCTAGTGAATCAGGAGGCGCTCAGGAGTCACATCCTAGTGCACCAGGAACTCATTTTATTCGGGTAACTACCACCCACACCAACTATCACCCGCGCCACCTCCCGCCTGACCACCAGAACATTTACCTGGGTAACTACCACCCGCGCCACCTACAGCCTGACCACCGGGACATTTGATACGGATTGTCAAAAGTGGGCCAACTATAGACAGCGTACAGTACTGGTTAAAAGCTGCACACCTAATAGGGACAAGGGCACACAGGGCCCCTCCCTAACTAAGAAGCTGCCTGCAGTTCACACCTGCTAGAAAAGGGGAAATGAGTTTTCTAGAAAGCAGTCTCACCGGATTTATCAGCCATATTCCAGGGCAGGCCCAATGTTCAGAGGCAGTTGGTCAACATAAACAATCTTGGTGGTGTTTTTTTGATTTTTTTGTTTCATTTTTTTTGGCACTCTTATTGGTCTTTTCCCTGTTTTGATTTTCATTTTTGTAGTTTTTTTTTTTTTTTTTTTTTTTGCTTGTTTTGGTACTTTTGGTTGTTGTTGTTTTGGTTTGGTTTTTTTTTTTTTGAGACAGGGTTTTTCTGTAGCTTTGGAGCCTGTCCTGGAACTAGCTCTTGTAGACCAGGCTGGCCTCAAACTCACAGAGATTCCCCCTGCCTCTGCCTCCTGAGTGCTGGGATTAAAGGCATGCACCACCACCACCTGGATGGTGGGTTTTTTTTTTTTTTTTTTGAGAAAAAGAGAGAAAGAACAAAATTGGGTGGCGAGAGAGGTTCAGAAGATGTGGGAGGAGTTGAGGAAGGAGACACATGATCAAGATATATTGTATGAAAAAATGTTTTAGGGCTGGAGAGATGGCTCAGAGGTTAAGAGCATTGCTTGTTCTTCCAAAGGTCCTGAGTTCAATTCCCAGCAACCACATGGTGGCTCACAACCATCTGTAATGGGGTCCGGTGCCCTCTTCTAGCCTGCAAGCATACACACAGACAGAATGTTGTATACATAATAAATAAATAAATATTAAAAAAAGAAAAAATGTTTTAATAAAAGAACACGGCAGGGTGGTAGTAGCTCACACCTTTAGTCCCAGTACTTGGGAGGCAGAGGCATGCAGATCTCTGTGAGTTTGAGGCCAGCCTGGTATACAGAGGTATTTCTAGAACAACTGGAACTATACAAAGAAACCCTATCTTGAAAACCCAAAAAGAAGGGGTTGGAGAGATGGCTCAGTGGTTAAGAGTACTAGCTGGTCTTTCAGAGGATCCGGATTCAATTTCCAGCATCCACATGCCAGCTCACAACTATCTGTAACCCCAAGATCTGACACCTTCTCACAAACATACATACAAGCAAAACACCAATGCACATAAAGTAAAAATAGATAAATTAAAAAGAAAAAAACAAAAAGAAAAGAAAAGAAAACTAAAACCAAAGAAGCTGTGTGCCAAGAACTGGATGTCAGGGCACAGATTTGTAACTCCAGCATTTGAAGAACAGAGATAGGAGGACGGGGAGCTTGAAACTAGGGTGACTTTGTCCAAAACAATTTCTTGAAATAATAATGCTTTTTTTTTAAGGGGAGGAAAGAGGAGGCAGTGGCAGCATGCTTTCAGACAGTAGTTACTTAGCCTCTCTGCCTTGGTCTCCCCATTTGACAAAGACACATCTGAGAGGACTGAGCGCACATTTCCAAAAGCAAAAGTAAATGCCTTTGTCCAAGCCGCAGCAAGAGCAGATAACCACGGTCACAATGGTCATCATCGCCGAGGTCACCTTAATCGTCCTTGCGATCTTGTTAACTGGGCTCTCTAACCCCGAGATCCACACCTGGCCCCAGTGACCAACCCATTCCTTCTCTCTGTGCATCCAGGGAAGGACGATGGGTCTGTGGTGACTTCTGCAGACAGATGGAAGGAACTTCCAGGGCTCCAGGGCTCTCGTGGGTCAGAACAGGCTTTAAGCTTACAGCAGCACGGTAAAGGGGAAGAAATGCTATCTGTCCTGAGTCCATCACTTGAGTAAGGTTGGGCAAGCCATTAGACAAACCTTGACTTTCTTTACCTACAAACTGTGGCTCAAATAACACCTGCCTTGCCAACCTCAGCACTGCCATGGGGATTCCAGGAGCTATAGTTTGCAAATCTGCTATATGGAAAGTAAATTGTTATTATATTTACGGAACAAAGCCCTGGTCCACCATGTGATCCCCTGCGCTGCTCCTCCCCTCACTCAACCACCGTTTATCACACGAAAGCCCTTTTCTTACAGGGCTCTCGGGTTTTTTAGTCCACACCTGAGAGTTAGGCATTCTGCTGAATACAACTCATCTTTTGTGAGCTTGCTTTCTTATCTATCAGTTATCGTGGTCTGCTGACTTCAGGGACAATTGTTAGAATCCATTATTTGTCCTGAAAGCAGAGGGCCAGATCTGCCATGTGGTCACCCCTCATATCCTCAGAGCCCTCTCAACCTGTGCTCTCCCGGCCTCCTGCAAAAATGCCTTCACTGGGGAATCATTGGTTACACCCTCAGTTCTGACTCAAGAATAATAATGGAACAGATAGATATTTGAAAGATCTTGGGACTTGGGCATCAGAAATATTTGACTCTAAGCAGGAAGTGTGGCTCACACGATAATCCAGGCAGGTGAAAGGCTGAGGCAGGAGGCTCCCAAGAACTAGGCTAGACTGAGAAGGGTAGGAGGAGAGAAGAAAAAGAGGAAAGGAAGGAAAAGGGAATAGAGGGGTAGTTCAGCAGCCAGCAGCCAAGACCATGTGCTGCTCTTGAGGAGGCTGTGAGTTTGGTTCCCAGCACCCACACTGTACCTGTAACGCTAGCTACAGGGCATCGGAAATGGTCCCCGGGCCCTGAGAGTACTGCCCTCACACGCGCAAACCCCACCCAGATACATACATACATACATAGGTAAAAATAAAGAGAAGGGGCTGAAGAGATGCTCAGAGGTTTTGAGCACTCACCTCTCTTGTTCTTTTTTTTAATTTATTTATTTTTTATGCAATATTCTTTCTGTATGTATGCCTGAAGGCCAGAAGAAGGCACCATTACAGATGGTTGTGAGCCACCATGTGGTTGCTGGGAATTGAACTCAGGACCTTTGAAAGAGCAGGCAATGCTCTTAACCACTGAGCCATCTCTCCAGCCCCACCTCTCTTGTTCTTGTTCCATTCCCAGCATCCTCAGGGCAGCTCACAACCATCTGTAACTCCAGTTCCAGGGGATCTGATGCCCTCTTCTGGCCTCCACGAGTACCAGACATCCACATGGTACACATAACATAAATGCAGGCAAAACACTCATACACATTAAAAGAATACGTAAATCTTTACATAGTCCTAGCTAGCCTGGAATTCACAGCTATCCACTGGCCTCCGCCTTTCCGAGTGCTGGGATTAAAGGAGCACACCACCACATCTGGCTTAAATACATAAATCTTTAAAGAGAATCAGAATAAAATCTTTAGATAGGCAGAAAGAAGAGCTGACGGAAGGACCACTCTGGTCAAATGTGGAGACAGTTTGTGCTCAGAGAGGATCAACAGTCTGGTTAGGGGAAGAAAGAGCAAAGCTATGTTTAGCCTTTTCTGTGGGTTCAGTTCTATCCGACAGTCAGTGCAGGAAGTACTCTGCCACACCCTCTCTCCATGATTTTGCTTGTATTGTTCTTAATTGTTTTGTTTGTTTGAGAAAAAGCTTCACTCTGTATCCTAGACCGGCTTAAACCGGGGATGGAGATAATCTGTCTGCCCCAGCCTCTCCACACCACACCACACCACACCACACCACACTGACCCTTCAGGCTGTTCCTATACAACCCTCTCTTTCTCTCTATGTGTGTGTGTGTTCTGATTTTTACTATTGTTTTTGTCGTTATTGTTTTCTGTGGCACTGGGGACAGAACTTGAGTCCTTGTGCATTCTAGGCAAGTATTCTACATCAGAGCTACATCTCCAACCCCTATTAATTCATATTGACAGACTTATTAAATAAAACTTTTCTTTGGCTAGAAAGATAACTTAGTGGTTAAGAGCACTCATTGCTTTCCCAGAGGAGTGAAGCTTGGTTTCCAGTACCCACACAGCTTACAACCACCTTTAGCTCCAACCCAGGGGATGCAATGCCCCTGGCCATTCTGGGCACAAGTACTTACATGTACAAATCCGCATGCTGATACGTACACATAATTAAAATTAATAAAAGGGACCGCAAGAGATGGTTCACCAGTTAAGAGCCCTGGCTACTCTTTCTGCAGACCCGAGTTCAGTTCCCAGCACCCACACAGTGACTCAAGGGTACTGCATGAACATGGTGTATAGACATATATGCAGGCTAAACACACCCACACATAAAATAAAAATAAAGACTAGAAGATTATTTTAAAGATTTATTTATTCATTCAGTTTTTAAATTTATTATGTATATGTGTATCCCTGCTCACCAGAAGAGGGCACCAGGTCTCATTATAGATGGTTGTGAGCCACCATGTGGTTGCTGGGAATTGAACTCAGGACCCCCACAGAAGAGCAGTCAGTGCTCTTAACCTCTGAGCCATCTCTCCAGCCCCCATCCTTGGATTTCTTTTACTCCCCATCTTCGATGCTTCCCTGTAGTGTGAATCACAGCTGTGAACCACCAGGCCTGTTTTTCTTTGAATCAGGGTCTCACTCTGTAGCCCTGGCTGGTCTGAAATTTGTTCTGTAAACCAAGTTGGCTTTGAACTTGTGGTGATCCTCCTGCCTTTTGCTTTCCAAGTGCTGGGATTACAAGCCTATATACTCAACTCCTGGTTCCCTTGCTGCGTTTTAAAATTCCTTTTACCGGGTCTTGTGGCGTCTATCCCTTGCTTGCTCATAGAGCTGCTGCTCCCCATGCCTCAGCACCACGCTATCTGAGCTGAATATGCACTAAAAATTTCATTACATCACTGTGGGGGTCACATTTGTGGAGGGCAGAGGATAACTGGCAGGAACCAGTGCTCGCCTTCCGCTATGTGAGTACCAGCGATCGAACTCGGGCCTCAGACTTGGCAGCAGATGCTTTATGGGCTGAGCCAGCTCACTGGCTCTAGAACATGTGTTTTCACAACACCCAGGCGACGCCCAGGGGGTCAGGGCGGCATATCTGGTAACAATCTCGTTTCTATGGCAGGAATGAGGGTGACTGAGCAGCGCTAGCCTCTTCTCATGGATTTTTGTATATGACGTTCCTTCAGAGACACCTAGGCTTTGAAAGAGCGCTCCTTACAGTCTCCCTGACCCTGTCATTCTGTCCCTTCCCTTCTCATTACGGAGCCAGCCTTATCTGACAACAGCGATCTAAAGTGCACTTCGTGGTGGGGGCGGTCAGCACTACAGAAATAGGCCAAGCCAGGGTCATCTTTTGAGGAGAATCTCAGCTGTTGACTTAACTATAGGTCTCCATCAATCTATCCGCCCTCCTACATACTCAACACTCCAGAAAGATCAAGAGAAGAGCGGACAGCGCGCCAACCTATCCAGGGAAGAAGGGGAGGCACCTACCTGAGCTCTCACATCTTTCTGACCAGAGTCAGGCAGTGGCAGTGTGCTGAGGGTCCTGTGTGCGCGGGTCCCTTGTCGTACCTGGGTCCCTTGTCGTACCTGAATGGCTTCTGCTAGGCCGAGGGTCCAGCCGGGCCTGAGTGGCAACTACCAGAAGGTCATTCAGAGATTTGGCATGGCTGTGAGAACCCTGCAGGAGGAGGACGGAGGGCACATGCATCTCTCTCTTCCTGCCAGAGCTGTGGCTCTGGGAGCACCACTCCTTGGGCAAGGACAGGCTTTCTGGAAAGGCAAAGTCATTGGCATCATCAACTGTGCTGCTATAGTTAGCACAATCTCCTGGCGAAGGCCACCTCCCGCGAGGCTCCCAATGGGCTTGGAATCAGAGTCAGCCATTGCTCCTTCCTTCACACAGTTTCTGTGGTCCAAGACAATGGGTCTCATGTGAACAAGAGCTGGGAATATTGACTATCAGCCAGCACTCTATTGACTCTTTGGTTCCGTGGGGATAGGGACTCTTTAATAAAGCGAATGGGTCAGGGGCTGGAGGGATGGCTCAGTGGTTAAGAGCACTGGCTGTTCTTCCAGAGGACCTATATGGCAATTCAGAATTCTCTATAACTCCAGTTCCAGAGGATCTGACACCCTCACCCAGACATGCAGGCAAAACACCAGTACACATTAAATAAATAATTTTTAAAAATATTTATTTATTATGTATAGAATATTCTGTCTGTGTGTATGTCTGCAGGCCAGAAGAGGACACCAGACCTCATTACAGATGGTTGTGAGCCACCATGTGTTTGCCGGGAACTGAACTCAGGACCTTTGGAAGGGTAGGAAATGCTCTTAACCACTGAGCCATCTCTCCAGCCACCAATAAATAATTTTTAAAAAATTAAAAAAGAAAGAGTATGGGCCATGTCTCCATCATCAGACAGAGAGAAGGATCTAAACCTTCTCTTGCTCTGGGAATCCCCAAACCTGGGGCTTCTTTCATCTGGTTCCTCTCTAATGTTGCGCTAGTTTGAATTTGCCATTGCTAGTTTTGTGATTGTTTTTAGTATTATTTTTATGTATATGGGTGTTTTGCCTGTATGTCTGTCTGTGCATCTGATGTGTGCCTGATGCCCGCAGAGGCCAAAAGAGGGCATCAGATTCCCTAGGATGAAGTTATAGACAGTTGTGAGCAGCCTTGTGGGTGCGTCAAAAATAGCCAGTGATCTTAACTGTTAAGCCATTTCTCCAAGCTTTACTTTTATAATTGGAAATACTTTATTATTGTTGTGTATGTGTGCATATGTGTGGGTTAGCATGCTACAACATACAAGTGGGGGTCAGAGAATAATTTTGTGGAACCAGTTCTTTCCACCCACCTTTATGTAGGTTCCAGTGATCAAATTCAGGTCACCAGAGTGATGTGGCAAACACCCTTGCATCTGCTGAGCCATATCACCAGTCCTGTTAATTTTTATTTATTTTTCTAAAAATTTTAATGCTAGGCAGTGGTGGCACAGGCCTTTAATCCCAGCACTAGAGAGGCAGAGGCAGGAGGATCTCTGTGAGTTTGAAGTCAACCTGTTCTACAGACAGGATAGCCAAGGCTACACAGAGAAACCCTGTCATCCCTGCAAAAAAAAAAAAAAAAAATTAAAAGTTGTTAAGGCTAGAGCTATAGCCCAACAGGTGAGACACTGGCTACTCTTCCAGAGAACCCAGGTTCAAATCCTATCACCCATAGAGTGGCTTGTAATTGTCTGTCAGGCCAATCCCAGGGAATCCAACTCCCTCTTCTGGTCCCCACTGGCCCCCAAAGGCATCTGGTACAAACGTGGTATGCAGATATATATGTAGACAAAACACCCATACACATAAAACCAAGGAATAAAATTAATTAAAATAAATCTTATTTGTTTTTATGATGTGTATATACCCACACGTCTATATGAGAACCACTTGGGTACAGGAACTCAAGGAGGCCAGAAGAGGGCTTTGGCTATCCTGGCGCTGGAGCTACACAGACAGTTCTGAGCCGTCCAGCAAGGGTGCTGGCCATTATTTATCTCTTTGAGAAAGTGTCTTGTTGTGTAGCTCAGGCTGGCTGCAAGCTCATGGTCCTCTTGTCTCAACCCCTGATTCTGATTACTGATATTTCAGGCATGCCCCACCAGACCTGGCCCTAATGCTAGAGTTAAGGTTTAGTCACCCGATGTTCCTAAAGGAAAATGGAACCTACAGTGGCTAGCCATGGGTGAGCTTCATTCCCCTTCCGCTCCCCACCATTGCTGTCCAGACACTCTCACATCCAAGACCCTAAAGCAATGTCTGCCCCATCACCAATGCAGACCTTGAAAGCCATGGGCCTACAAACTATATTCTCTCCAGAAGCTAATGACAGGAGTCGTTTTGTCTGCATGCTCCAGCACTCACGTGATTTGGGGGCCGGGAACAAGGAGCGCTTCTTCTTCATCTGAACCTTCTGCAGAATCTCCGACATCAGGTGCTGCCGCCTCACTTCATTCTTGATCAGGGTCAAACTCACGTCCAAACTCCTGGGTTTGGAAGACACGGGAGGTTTGGATTTTTTCTCCTGGACCAGCTTCTGGGGGGCCCTCCGCTGCTTGCCCTTCCAGGAGACCGTTTGGACACTCTCCGAACTGCTGCACTCAGGGCTGGAGGTCAGGCTCAGGCTGGCCAGGGATTCCAGAGAGGTTGATAGCTGGGCTGTGGGTTCTGGGGAAGTTTCTACAGGTGTTAAGGGCTGAAAGAGAAAACAGCCTGGAATGAGATTACAGTAGGCGGAGGACTCCCTTCTAGCTCCTCTAGAAAGAAAGGGCGGAAATGGTCCCGGTGGTGACTGGAGAGGTGGCCTGGTGGTTAAGAGGCTGCTCCAGTTCCACAAGATCTGATAACCTCTTCTGGTCTCTGTGAACACCTGGCACACATGATGCACATGCAAACACACACATACACAGATGCACACAATTTTTAAAAATTAATCCTAAAGTTGGCTCTGGGCAGGGTATGGTGGTGGCACATGCCTTTAATCCCAGCACTCAAGAGGCAGAGGCAGCCAGATCTCTATAAATTCAAGCTGGTTTGCATAGTGAGTTCCAGGGCAGCCAGAGCTACATAGAATGTCTCAAAAAAAAAAAAAAAAAAGTTGGTTCTAGGATAGATAACCCGAGCATTGTTCCATTAGCATACAATAACTTTATTATTTATTTTTATTTTGTGTGCATTGGTGTTTTGCCTGCTTGTGTTGTCTGTGTGAGGGCATCAGACCCCCTGAAACTGGAGCTACAGACAGCTGTGAGCTGCCATGTGGTCCTCTGGAAGAGCAGCTAGTGCTCTTAACCACTGAGCCATCTCTCCAGCCCCTGTAGGTCAACTTTTTACTCTATTGTTGTTTTTGCCGAGAGTCTGAGTTTGATGAAGTCTTGCTTGTCTAATGTTTTTGCTGCTATCCTAGACTATTTCTGCCAAACCCAAGGTCATGAAGCCCCAAGGCACATTCTTTGTTTAAGTGATTTGAGTCTAAATTTTTGTTGCTGCTTTTGAGATAGGGCTCTTTCTTTCTTTCTTTCTTTCTTTCTTTCTTTCTTTCTTTCTTTTCTTTTCTTTCTTTTTTTTTTTTTTTTTTTTTTTTTTGGTTTTTCGANATCTCCTTTTTCTCTTTCTTTTTTTTTTGGTTTTTCGAGACAGGGTTCCTCTGTAGCTTTGGAGCCTGTCCTGGAACCAGCTCTTGTAGACCAGGCTGGCCTCGAACTTACAGAGATCCGCCTGCCTCTGCCTCCTGAGTGCTGGGATTAAAAGCGCGTGCCACCACTGCCCCGCACGCGGTGCTGACAGCAGCACCTAGATTTGTGACACCCCCACCCTACTCCCACCCCACCCCTACCCCACCCTACCCCACCCCACCCCCACGGAGAAAAGGAGCACGAAGGGGGAAACCTGCCTACGAAAGCAGGTGGGGAAGAGTCTTCCTCAAAGCCATTCCAGGCTTACCCTCCAGCAGGGAATGTCATCCTACTGTGTCAGCTCCACAACTAGGGAACTGAGACTCCAGTAGCAACAGTGGGTACTCAAAGAGCTACAAGTTGGGGACAGGGAAAGCCCCTCCGCCCCTCAGCATGGCCCTTGACTTACCAGGCCATTGCTGACTACATTCACTGAATGGGCCGACTTCACTTCCTTGATTGTGGAATTGCATTTACGGAGCTCTGTCCCAGAGCTGCTGGGATTTGAACTCCTCAGGTCAGGGACAGAACTGTAGTGCCTCGCAGACATGGGCTTGCAGGGAGCGAGGGTGGCCTCCTTCTTGGAGTCCTTCTGGTGGAGGCTACCGGCAGTTTCAGTGTTCCTTATGCCTCTGATGTTCAAGAACAGGCCAGGTGTGCAGGATACTAAAGCCACTGGGTGGTAGCTCTGAGAAGGAGGAAACCAGACACACAGCCCGTGGGGACCGCAGTCCCGTCCGCCATCGGACTCATCTGCACCCCAGCGAAGGTGCAAAAGAGGTGAAGAGAAAGGAAACAGGATGCACCAGAGAGTTTCTAGTCTGGAACTCTTAGCCCGGGGTTCCGGAAGCCTTACAAAAGCCCGGGAGTGAGTTGTTAGCAACTTGAAACTGAGATTTCAAACAGTACGGTGTGTACTTGATGGAAGGTACTCCACAGCTTCCACCAGATTCCTAAAGAGTCTGTGACCCAACAAAGTTGAAAACCCCAAGCCAGCTCTAGTCCTGTCCTTCCAGGCGAGTCTTCAAGACTAAGGAGACAGTTAGGGATGGTGGCACACTCCTGCAATCCCAGGAGAGTCTTCAAGACTAAGGAGACAGTTAGGGATGGTGGCACACTCCTGCAATCCCAGCACCCCACTAGTGGGAGCAGGAGGATCACCACAAGTGATAGCATTGTCTACTGAGTGAGTTCCAGGCCAGCCAGTGAGAGTGAGACATTTTGAAAAGAAACAAAAGATTAGAGAGAGGGGGCTGGCATTCTAGTGCTCAGTTAGCAGCCCAGGGTACGGGAGGCCCTGGTTTGGTCTCCAGAGCTTTACTAACCAGGCCTTGTGCCGCATGCCTGTAATCCCAGCACTTAGGAGGTGCAGGCCGGAGAATCAGTTCTATATTATCTTGTGCAACAGAACAAGTTTGGGGTCAGCCTGTGCTACATGAGACCCCCACCTTAAACAAGCAAACAAAAAAAACACAAAAAACAAAACCCAAGAATGGTACAGAGATGTACAGAAAGTCATTCACTAAGAACCAGAGCTGGAGGAAATAGAAGCCACAGACATAGCTCCCAGGACAATGAGGCAGCTCACCAAGGGCTGGGCCACCACCTTGTGCAGAGAGCGAGCAGGCAGGAAGCCCCTTTTCAGGCATCCCCAAGAAGTATTCTGAGGACTACGTCTCCCAGCAGCGCTCCTCAGGACCCTGCCCGAGGGCCATTCCCAGCCAGGTCAGAGATGAGGGCAGTGGAGCACACTCCCTATGGGGCTCAGGTCAGGCCCCCCCCCCCCCCCCCCCCCCCCCCCCCCCCCCCCCCCCCCCCCCCCCCCCCCCCACAGCGAGGCTGCTCTTACTTCCAGAGGCAGAAAGGACAGCATTCTCTACTGTCAGGATGGAGGGATCCTCTAACAGACGCCAGGTCTGTGTGCCTTCTAGATCCCTTCTTTGTAGTTCGCAGCCCGTCAGTGAGTCAGTGCCCGGAGCAGAGGTCTCCGGGGTACCCTCCCACGGATCGGCCCAAGCTGGGGCAAGGTGCTGGTTAGACACACACCCCCCTCATCTGAGTTTACTTGTTTGGGGGGAGGGATGGCTGTCTTGCACTTCTGCTGCTGTCTCTGTTGCCCGGTTTTCAGGATCCTGTCTCTTGCCTGCTCACCCACAGACTCGCCCGGCATCTCTGTCTTCTTTTCTTTCTTTAGGAATGATTTTTTTTCCTGTTTCTGCCTCAGCTCCTGGATCAGCTGCCTGTTGGTTGAAGAGCAGGTGAGTATCATGGACAGAGTGGAGAGGGGCTAAAGACATAGCTCAGTGGTTAAGAGCACCTGTTGCTCTTCTATAGGACCCTGGTTCAAATCCCAGCACCCACATGGCAGCTCACTACTATCTGTAACTCCAGCTCCAGGGGATTCTGCAAACACTGAATGCACATACTGCACAGACGTACATGCGCAAAACACCCACAGACACAAAGTAAAGTGAAATAGATGGGAGGGAGAAACAGGTTCCTGCACAAGTGACTGAAGGCCAAGAACGGCGTTGGGTAAGAAGGAGCCGTCCTTCTGACCATCTCCTGACTAGGGAATAAAGAACCATCCTTCCAACCATCCCCAGACTAGGGAATAAAGAGCTGTCCCTTCCAACTACCCCCAGACTAGGGAACAAAGAGCCGTCCTTCCAACCACCCCCAGACTAGGGAATAGCACCCTTTCAAGGAAGATCGCACTGAAAGGGGGGCATTTACTTCCCCCTTCCCTGGAAAGAGGATTTGGGTAGGAGGACTAAGGCCAGGGGCTCCCATTTTGGGCCACTTCATAAGCTGGGCTCTCTGGCCAGTGAATCCTGGGACTGGACCAAAGGTGGTACACCAGGGCACATCACCTGGTCTCAGGAGTCAGGAGACAGGGTAATCCTCCGGGGTCATCTTTTTCTATGACCTACTTCCTGCTCTGGCATCCCCTCTCATCAATGGGGAATTTGGTGGGAAGTGGGCCTAATCAGATGGTTCCCTTCGAGCGCTCGGATTTCATATAGCCTGAACACATAACACACTTCTGGGCAGTGGGGCGGGGCATCCGTCCACTCACTGCACTGTGGAATCTTCCAGTTCCTGGTCTTTATGAGACCCGGACCGAATGCTCCTCTCTCACGGCAAGGTTGGGAACTGAGACCCGGAAGTTCTCCCTACCACCTGGGCCACAGGTGGTCGGTCGCTACAATCCCCAGCCCACCTCGACCTGAGCGGAAGTCTTCCTACCGGGCATACAGCTCTCGGGCTCGGGAAGCAACAGTATTCTGGAAGAGGGAGCTATTGTCCTGGAAGAACTTCTCGTACTTCTCTAAATTCACACTCGGGTAGATGAGCCGGAACCCGCCACAGTTTTTCTTTTCGTATTCCTCGGTTTTCTGTAACCGCACTGCCTGGAAACCCTTGACCTCTTCCATCCTGTTGGGAAAGTGAAAGCAGGGCTGCCCTTGTGTCTTCTTGCAAGGGTCATGTCCAAGCTGGGTGCCATCTAGGGCCCTTCATGTAACAGTAGTTGATCAGGATTTGCCAAATAAAAGCAAGAATGTTTGGGACCAGGGGTTCTAGGACTCCCAAGACAGCCGGCGTCACATTGCTCCAGGGAGGCGCTTGCAAGGCCTGACAGTTCCACCCAAGTCTCATCCACCTCCCCCTTGGCACAATCAGACCAGGCAGACTTTGGCCACCTTCCCATTCACAGCCCCCATTGCCCTTCTCTGGAGAACAGCAGCTTGTGTTTTGCTAAATGGGAGGACTTCTGAGATGGACTTAAGGAGCCTTTGTGAGCCAGGATGCTCTGAAGCATCCTCACCCCACCCCCAGGAGGAGCTCAGGTAGAGAAGCTTCCTACACTGCAGCGATGTCAAAAACCACTGAGCTTTCCAGCCAAGTAACACAAAGGAGGCCTTCGGTGTGCCAGCTGACACCTTCTTCCTGAGGGCATCAAGGACAGCAGCACAGTACAAGGCCTTCTGGGGTCCCCCGCAGCAGGGACCCTGGACTCTGGATCTAATTAGAGCTATCCCCAGCCAGTCGAATCTCCCCATGACAGTCTCCTGATGGGAATCGTGGTGTCCTTGGTTCCTTGGACAGAACCACACAGCACAACACTCTACCTCCTTTCCACCCAGCACGTAGAGCAGGAATCACATGATAAAGTGGCCGTGAGCAGACACGATGTACTGTCCTAGGCTCTGAGAAGGGGTGGTACAAACTGAAAAGCAATCAGGCACCACCTTGCGCGGGCTCAGGGCCTTCTGGGGGCAGAATCTCTCTGAAGGAAGAAGACCCTGCTTCTAGTGCAAATGCTGCCCTAGGAGAGGCCAAAGCAACTCCTGTCAGCACACGACAGGCCGAGTTGACAAAGCTTGCTTTCCAACAAAAACATGAATTCTTTGGTTTCTTATGCTGGTAATGTCTAACTCCACACATGATACTAATCATTTTATTTCATATAATTATATGTGTCCATTTTAACCTCCAGTTTCCAGGAACAAAGACACACACAGTCTTAACAGAACTGTCCAGATTGCTAAATTCTCCACCGTAAAGCAGCTTTCCATACAGGATTCCCATTTGTTAGCAATGATCCACTCTGTTGGGCATGGTGATACACATCTGTAATCCCAGCACTTTTGAAGCTGGGGCAACAGGACTGCAAATTCTGTGGGAGCCTGAGGTACCTTTGAGGCTACCTCAAAAAAACAAAACAAGAACACATGAAGAATGCATCAAAACAAAACTCCAAAAGATAAAAACCAAGGACTGGCTGAAGAGATGGTTTGCTAGCTTGAGGATCCTCGGTCAGAGCCCAGCAGTCTCATAAAAAGCTGGGCGTGGCTGAGCATGCGTGGCTGAGCAGACATAAGCATGCGCATGCATGCAACCAGCCTAAAACCCTGATGCGGAAGTAGGTGGAAAGAGGAGGAACTCTGGGCTGGCTGAACAGCTGTCTAGCTCCAGAGTCAGGAAGGGACCCTGTCTCAAAGGAATGAGATAGAGAGACACAGAATAAAATACCTGATGGCCTTCTGTGGCCTCTGCACATGTGCACATACCACACACACAAACACACGCATGCACACGTGCATGTGTTAAAGACTACAGCAGAGACCCTGTCTCAAAAATAAAAAAAGAAGAAGACCGTCACAACAGCAAAAGGCCAGAGAATGTAGCTCAGTGATTGAGGGTTTGCTGTTTGCCTACTATAGGTAATGCCATGAGCTTGAGACCGGTACCTTAGGCTTACTACTCAAGGGCTTCCACAATAGGATACAATTAGGGCTCTTTTAAAAATATGTATTTATTTAGTACATACGTATGCATATATGCATACATGCCACAGAGGGCACACGGAGGTCAAAGGACAACTTGGGGGAGCTGGTCCTCTCCTTCCGTCACATGGACTCTAAGGCTGGAATCCAGGTCATCCAGCTGACAGCATCTCACCGGCCCAACAGTCTAGAACCTTAACTTCTAACAAACTGTGGTGCCAGGCACTGTGGTAAAGCTTCATATCATGATGGCATTCAGTCCCCTACTAGCTTATGTAAATGCAGTCCCACTTCACAGAAAGAGCCCCAAAGCTTAAGGAAGTGACAGGAAGGCCACAGAATTGGTAGACCTTAGTTACAGCTGGGACCAGCACAGCCAGCCTCACTGAGGGCAGGGCAGAAAGAGAAGGCTGCCTGGGGACGGGGCGCTGCCGTACCTGATCTCCCGAGACGGGCACTGCTGCAGGAACCGTCCCCGCTGTCTCTCTTCCTCCAAGACTTTCTTTTTGTCACAGTTCCCCAGGTTGATGAGGACCAAAGCGTCATAGAGGAGACTGTCTTTCACCTCTTTATCCAGCTTGGAGTCAGTGGAGAAGCTTGGAGAATGGTTGACCTGTGGCGACAAAACAGCATTTGGGGATGAGGCAGACCAGTGTGAAAGCGGAGGTGAGGCCAAGATGCCACCTTCAGGGCCTGCCTCATGGTCCTAGCTGTGATTGTCAGGGAGCCGAGAGAGGTCTACACTGGAACCCTTGTGAAGAGAGCAAGGAGAGCAGGAAGTAGAATTTCCTCTAGTGTAAGCAGGTGGGATTTTGTTTGTTTTTTGAAACAGAGTCTCTCTTTATTGCCTTAGCTGGCCTGGAACTCAGGATGTAGGCCAGGCCGACCTGGAGCAGAGATGCGCCTGCTTCAGCTGCCTGAGGACTGGGATTAAAGGCCGCACTACCGCTGTCACCGCTCGGCAGGTCCTCGGCCACACGAGTGTGTGTCCTCCCGCTTGTGCTCTCCACAGCCCGGAGAAGAAGCCTGCAGTGCCTGTAAGCCCCCTCAGGAGGCGGAGGCAAGAGAACTGTCACCAGTTTGGGGCCAAACTAGGCAATGCATTAAGTTCCAGAATAACTTGCGCTCTGAAATGGTACCCTGTCTCAAATAAACAAGCAAATACAAACAAAAGGTAGGAGAGAAGGAAGGTCGGGAGGAATAAGGAAGGGAAGGAAGGAATGGGGAAGGGAAGAAGAGAGATGTGAGCCCAGCAGTGGCTGTGCACACCACAATCCCAGAATTTGGGAGGCAGAGGTGGGTGGATCTTTGAGTTTGAGACCAGCCTGATCTACAGAGCTAGTTCTAGAACAGACAGGGCTACATAGAGAAACTCTGTCTCAAAAAGCAAAAAGAAAAGGGGGTTGTGGAAGAGGAGGGGAGAGGAAAAGAAAAAGAGGAAAGAACACCGGAGGAAATGACACATGCTTTATTTAATCCCTGCACTAGGAAGGCAGAGGCAGGTGGATCTCTGAGACTGAGACCAGTCTAGTCTACAAAATGAGTTCCAGGTCAAACAGAGCTACATGGTGAGGAAAGAAGGAAGGAAGGAAGGAAGGAAGGAAGGAAGGAAGGAAGGAAGGAAGGAAGGAAGAAGGGGGGCTGGAGAGATGGCTCAGTGGTTAAGAGCATGGGCTGCTCTTCCAGAGGACCCAGATTCAATTCCCAGCACACACATGGCAGCTCATGCCTGTCTGTAACTCCAATTCTAAGGGATCCAGCATCCTCAGACATATATGCAGGCAAAACACTAGTGCACATAAATTAAAAATAAATACATTTTTAAAAACTGTAAAGAGAATGAGGGAAGGAGAGAGCATAAGAGAGAAATACAGAGGCCTACTCTAAGTTTGGAAGCAGAGTGATTCACTCTAGAAGAGACAGCTGAAGAAGGCCAGAAGCCTAGTTCCCGCCCACAAATAATCAATATTGTTCATTTACATTTGTGTTACATTTGTGGGTTTCCAGCAGCTTCTGGAGGCTCGCTGCTGATGCTCGTTCTCTCTTTGGGGTGGGAGCTCCAAACAGTGCCCCCTTCATGGACCTGAGAATAAGGGTTTAGTGTAAGGGAGGTCACAGCCCCTGGTATTCCAGCTACAACTCCGTATCCTTGTTCCTCGTGTGTGTTGAATGGCTGCTTAAGGTTCCAGAGGACCAATCTAGTCAGGAAATGAAGCTGCTCAGAAATCTCTGCCTCTTTCCACTCTCACATGGAGTTGAATCACCTGGACCGGTGTCTGGAACTGGGTTGCTCAGGTCCCCGAGAGCCAGGAGGCAACGTTGAGAAGGAACAGCCTCTTTGTGGGGAACACAGGAAGCAGAGTGGTCATCGCAGTCACTCTGGGCCTGAGACTGGAGGCAGCTGTAAAGCTGGCTGGACCTCAAGAAGGCACAGGGAATCCTCTAATTTCCAGCCGTCTACCCCCCTCTGGTGGCCACTTCTCAAGCTACGCATCACGCCCCGGGAACAGCGAGCACCAGGGAAAGGAGGGGCAGGATTGATCTAAACAATACAAGTGAGCCTGGAAGACAGAGTCCCCAGAGCTGATGTACCCCAGGAACGGGGACAGCTCACACCCCTAACTTCCTTACCTCCAGCAGCCAGGGTTTGAGTTTGCGGTCCAGCAAGATGTCAAAGCCCAGGATTTCGAAGCAGGCACTGTTGAGCGTGTGGCTAGGGAAGCAGGTGTGGTAGTTGTGCTTGATGACGGGGTAAGCCGAGATGAGTGTTTTGATGATGACATCCTCAATGGCCCTCCATATCTGCTCGACGTCATAGCCGTGGGTCTTCATGTACAAGTTGAAGGTGGAGAGTTTCCTGAGAAGGACGTACAGGGCATCAGGCAGGCGGGAGAGTTACTCCCAGTCAGCGAGACCATGCACAAGCATGGTGAAATCCAGAAACTTCTGGAGATGAAGGCTCCAGGTGCAGGGCTGAAGACCACCCAGAATCCAGAGCGATACTGAGGCTGGATCCAAATGGGAGGGGCCCTGGAGGAGTCACAGCGGCAGACTCCTCGGGTCTCCAGAACCTCAGGGCAGGCAGATACACAGCCTGGGAACATTCTTAAAAAAAAAAAAAAAAAAAAAAAGCATCTGTGGGCTGGAAAGAGGGCTGGGTATTGGATGGAGAGCTACAAGAACAAACACACACACACACACTCCTCACATTACTGTTTTGCTTCTGCTTTGGCAGCAGTAAGTTTCTCAGCCTTTGGTGATCTTTGGAAACGTGGGATGGCTGGGTGATGGTGGCGCAAGCCTTTAATCCCAGCACTCCGGAGGCAGAGGTAGGCGGATCTCTGAGTTCAAGGCCAGCCTGGTCTACAGAGCAAGTTCCAAGACAGCTAGGGCTACGCAGAGAAACCCTGTCTAGAAAGGAAGAAAGAACCATGTGGGGGCCTTTGAAGGACACTGACACTTTGGTCACACTTCCGTCCTCTGAGGAGATTCTGGGATCACTGAAAACAAAATCCTGCTTTAGGACTGCCTACAGACAAGAGCAGCCCCAAGGCGTTTCCATACCTAGAGTCACTACTGTCCTAGGCAATCTGTACTGTCCCCAATTTAAACACAAAGTCCCAGGTCCCGGAAACTTCTCCGTCTCTGGTGGCCTGTGGTGCCTGGTCACCCAGCCATAGAGAGAGACAGTTGCCAAGGCTCACAGCCAGAGTTTGGGCTCAGCATTCACAAGGTGGAAGGAGAGAGCTGATTCCTATAGACTGTCCTCTGTCCTCACAGGTACACTGTGGCACCATGGGATCCCCCCATCATGGCACCCCCCAATAAATAAATGTAATTAAAATTTTGTTCCTTTGTTTTTCAAGACAGGGTTTTTCTATGTGGTGCTGGCCATCCTAGATCTCATTCTGTAGACCAGGCTAGCCTCAAACCCAGAGATTCACCTGCCTCTGCCTCATAACTGCTGGGATTAAAAATGTGAGCCACCAGGCCCAGCTAAAAGTTTTGGGTTTCAGTGTTGGTTTTTTTTAAATGACACAGGGTTTCTCTGTGTAACTGCTCTGGCTGTCCCGGAACTCGCTTTGTAGACCAGGCTTGCCTAGAACTCAGACATTCACTTGTCTCTGCCTCCTGAGGGCTGGGATTAAAGGTGTGCATCACCATTGCCTGGCAAAAAAAAATATTTTTTAAAAAAAGTCATCTCGGGGGCTGGAGAGATGGCTCAGATGTTAAGAGCATTGCCTGCTCTTCCAAAGATCCTGAGTTCAATTCCCAGCAACCACATGGTGGCTCACAACATTCTGTAATGGGGCCTGGTGCCCTCTTCTGGTCTACTAGCATACAAACAAACAGAATATTGTATTCATAATAAATAAATAAATATTTAAAAAAAATAAAATAAAAAAAGTCATCTCACTGGACTGCAGTGAGGGCCAGAAAGGAAGGAGCAGGCCTGCCAGGCAAGGAGCTGATGTTAAGGGACCATGCAAGTGGAGGTCTGTACAACTGCCACTTCTGTCCTAGGAAACCCGAGGACCACAAGTCAACACGCGTGAAACACCCAGGATGTGTTTATGTAAGGACAGATAAGCAAACTCAACACAAAGCCCATTTCCCTCCCCTCCTTTGTCAGGTAGAAGCATTGTGCTTAAACAGAATTTCTATATTGTTGGAAAAGCCAAGACTTTCTTTTTTTTTTTTTTTCCTGAGACAGGGTTTCTCTGTGGTTTTGGACCCTGTCCTGGAACTAGCTCTTGTAGACCAGGCTGGTCTCGAACTCACAGAGATCCGCCTGCCTCTGCCTCCTGAGTGCTGGGATTAAAGGCGTGTGCCACCACCGCCCGGCATAAGACTTTCTAGTAGGAAAAAAAACATTTAATTTGCCTAATTGGCAAATAAACTTTCCTGGAATAGACTACACGGGTTACAAAGCACAACATAACCTTTACTTGATGACTCAAGGCCCATCACCATGAATATTCTCTGCCTGGCAATTTCCTGACGCCCAGCAGTGACTCAGTTCACTTTAACATCGGGTCTGTGCCAGGCATGCCAAAAGATGACAATATCTGGTGTCTGGCCGGAGTCCCTCCGTGCTCACAGGTTTTCTCTTTTCCTCTCCAACTGACTGGAGTCCTGCTCCCACTGACCTAGAACTCCATGGAGAAGGTGGGGGGAGGCTGGAGTGCCTCAGTTTGCGTCAGTTGCTAACTTTGAGGAGACAAGAGAGCATGAGGGAGGAGGCCTTTCAAGAAGAGAAAGGGAGAGGAGGAAGAAGAGGAGGAGGGATGGATGGGAAAAAGAGAAAGGAAGGGGGAGGAGTAAGGGGCAATAAGAGAAGCGCACTGAAGAGCAGGACGCATTATGGGTTGAATATGTCCCTCCCAGTTCAAGCGTTAGAAACAGGGCCTCTAGTGCCGTACTGTTGGGAGACCTGACCTTTGGAAGGCCTCTGTGCTCTTAAGTGGATTAATCTGTGTGTGGTTGAAAGGGTTGTGGGTGTGGCTCTATTATAAAATCAGGCTCTCTGGCACACTTGCTGAGCTGAGGATAGATGGGCCTCTAGGGGAGAGAGAGACTGAGCCAGAAGAGGCCAGGATGGAAGCCCTGGGGGCAGAAGACTGCTCCAATGTAGAGCTGACCCAGAGAAGAGCAGAGTCAGAGGGGGAGAGAGGACAAGCTGGGCGGTATGAGAGGCTCCATACGAGAACACTTGTGTAGCATGTGAGAGGCCCTGGGTTAAATGTGTGTGTTTCTATCTCTAGCTCAGGGTCTTACTATATAGCCCATATAAGCTAGCCTGAAATTTATAATCCTCCTGCCTCAGTCTAGAGAGCCCCTGAGTCCTAGGACCCAGCACCACTGTATGCCAACCACACCACAACACCTGGAAATAATATTAAAAGAAGGCAAATAAAGTCTCTTCGACTACAAAAAATTAGTAGTGCCAGAATTCTAGGCTGCAGCGCAGGTCACTCGAGTCTCACAGGGACACCATGAGGAGGGCAGCACAGGGCAGGTTATCTCATTGGTTGTATCTTAAAACCCAGGGATGGAGGCTCGGAGACAAAGAAACTTGTCTAGGCTAACTCTGCAGATAAAGATCAAAGTGGGGGGGGTGTTGGCGCACGCCTTTAATCCCAGCACTCGGGAGGCAGAGGCAGGCGGATCTCTGGGAGTTCGAGGCCAGCCTGGTCTACAAGAGCTAGTTCCAGGACAGGCACCAAAGCTACAGAGAAACCCTGTCTCAAAAAAACAAAAAACAAAACAAAACAACAACAACAAAAAAAGATCCAAGTGGGGGTTACTGGCAGGCCTGCCCCACCAGGGATGCTGAACACACATCAGTGCAGGAGGCTCCATGGCACCCGCACTGGGTGGGAAGAAGAAGTGACAAAGTTTCAGACGTGGCACTGGCATCCTCTAAAAGAGGGCGTGGCTGAAGTTGCACGTGATAATGCACACCTGCAGTCTCAGCCCTCGAGGCAGGAGGATTGGGAATTTGAGGCTACCCTGGGCTACAGAATGCCTTCTAACCAGCCTTAGTTACTACATATCAAGACTTGTCTCAAAAATACTAGGGGACCAGGCGGTGGTGGTGGCGCACACCTTTAATCCCACCACTCGGGAGGCAGAGGCAGGGGGATCTCTGTGAGTTCGAGGCCAGCCTGGTCTAAAAAGCTAGTTCCAGGACAGGCTGAAAAGCTGCACAGAGAAACCCTGTCTTGAAAAATAAACAAACAAACAAAACCAAGGCAAGACGATCAGGAGGTAAAAATCATCACCTTCAACCAGAAGCAAATTTGAGGCCAGCTCTGGTACAACACATGTGCACATGTGCGCACGTACACACACATACATCCTCCTCCCAAGAAGGCTCTACCAGTCATAGCCCATATACTAAGATGCCCTATGCCTCCCTGCGGGCACCATGACGTTGGCATAGTGAACAGAGCTGCAATTGTAGCACTCAGAGCTGAGTGGTGTGACCTTGGGCAGCTTAACCTCTCTGTGACTCAGTTCCCTCATCTGTGAATTGGAGATAGGACCTAACACCTCCCTACCCAAGTTCCTGAGTGCTCTGGTGTCGCCCTGGCCAGCGTGGTGGTGAAAACCCAACAACGAACACACAGGCACCTGCACCGGCACCCTGATGCTCCCTTGGCCTCCCCATCTCTGCCCAGCCAAGCTCATACAACTCGGTCTACCTTCCTCTCAAATACCAGGAGCAGAAAAGCTGCTTATGGGGGGAAGAAACCCAAACCCTCAGGAATCCCTTAATTTCCCCAACCTGAAGGCTGACTAGCCACGGGTCAAGTGACTCCAGGGCATCATGACACATGGGTTGAGAATCTGTAATGGACCAACACCCCAGGGAACTACAGAGCGAGGGATCACAGCTGCCAAGTCCTTCTCACTTGGCAGCCCAGCAATCCCTAAAGGCTGTTGGTCTGGAAACGTCAAGAGGGCAACTGTCACAAGGTATGTTTCGATGTGTGTATGTTTTCTGCCGGGGAAACCGTTCGGTTTATCTCCCTCCTCCCAGCCTCCCAGGGTTTACAGCATGGCCTTCTTTTAATGATTAACAGCCCAGAGCTCTGACATGAGATGAACTGTCTCTTCTGGGCTGAGAGGCAAAGCCGGCTTTGCCAGATCGTGTGACCCGAGGCGGAAATCCTGGCAGGGTCTGAGTGGGTTTGGGAAGAACCCTGGAAAACCGAGTGAAGCGTCCATCCCTCCTACCTCTTGCTGCCAGAATGAGCGTCTTGAACGAAGTTGGAACTGTGCTTGTTGATGGAATAGTTCGTCAGGTGCATGCAAATCTCATCCTGGGGAAAGAGACACAAGACTGGGGGTCAGGCTGAAGCACGGGCCTCCTGTGTCCTCTCCGTGCACTGTCCCCCACCCCACTCCAATCGTCCCTGAAGCCTAAAGGGATAGGGGGAAGGGATTTATAGGCATACGTAAAGGGGCGGACAGGAGGTAAAAAGGGATATCCCATAGCCTGGAGTACAAGAGATTCCAACTCTTTCTGAGACTGAGGGAGGGAGAGGAAGATTGGAAACCACCCATGACCTTCTCTCCTTGAGCACCTCTGCACTGTAGTTCCGGTGCTGGTGTCAGGAAGGCCTGGCCATCGTCCCACTTTCTAGCTGAGTGACCCCAGACAAGTCCCCTATACCCTGCAGGTTTGAACCTTGTCTGTAAAACGGGGCTAATAACCCCTATCTTGGAGGGCTCCTGGGGGGACTAAATGAGAAACCCCTGGAACTTGGAACACAATAAGTGTTCATGGGGTGTCTGCCAGCTCCATGGAATCTGAGGATGCCCTCGTGCCAAGGGAAAAGGGAAGGCAGCGTGTCCCCTTCAGCTCACCAGGTTGTCTGTGCTGGGGTGGGAGTAAGAGGTGGTGGCAAAGCGAGCCAGTCCTTCATTGTACACAAAAACCCTGAGAGGGTCACAGGAGGTCACCAGCACGTAGATCCGCAAGTCAAACTTGAACCCGTCAATGATGAAGGGCTGGGCGAGAGGAGAGAAGTCACGCAAGCATCTGGAGGTGACAGTCCCAGGTAAAGGCGGCTAGCTCCCACCTCTCTCTTGGAGCCAGCTCCGGCATTGCCTAGTGGTGTAAAGTGCGGGCATGCCCAGTGTGGGGAGCAGGATAAAGAGGTTTAGTCTCTCTGGGTTCTGACATTGGGGAGGTCACCAAACCACACTGTGCAAGCAGCCCCCCTCTAAGAGATGTAGATGGCAGTTCAGAAATCCTTCCAAGACAGGACCTGTGGTTTCCAGGGCAACATCACAGGTGCCTTCTCCAAAAGCTCTAGAGCTCTTCTCTTTTTTTTCTTTTTTTAATTAATTAATTAATTGATTAATTATTATGTATACAATAATATTGTTTGTCTGTGTGTATGTCTGCAGGCCAGAAGAGGGCACCAGACCTCATTACAGATGATTGTGAGCCACCATGTGGTTGCCGGGAATTGAACTCAGAACCTTTGGGAGAGCAGGCAATGGTCTTAACCACTGAGCCATCTCTCCAGATGCTCTTCTATCAAGGGGCTCCTAGACATTTTGTCTTGGGGAAGCCAGCACTTCCTCTTCTCACCCAAACTTCTAGAAGGACCCCTGTCTGCAGTGGGCTATATCACTGTGGTCCGTGACTCCCTCTGTCCCAGGCAGGGGGGAAAGCTGGTGACTATGAGCTCTTTCAGATGACTCCCCTCTCTCAAGTGAGGCGGGGACCCCCCACACTCCATGCTTTCATCCACTCGAGGGGGAGGTGGTGGAGACTGCCAGGGCGAGCGAGGGACATGGTGACCCCAGAAGGCTTGGGTCTGAGCAAATCCAAGGCACAAGGCAGACTCAGTTTCACCTCCGCCTCTGCCTTCCACTGCTTTCTGTCCCACAGAGCCTGAAGCTGCTGTGGGCAATAAATCCGTAACGGCGGCGAGGAAGTACCTTTGAAATATAAAGCTGACAGATCATATCCTCCCCGGGCTTGATCTCTTTCACCGTCCGGGTGATGAATATGCCTCTCCCTTGGCAGCCCGAGTCCGGTTTGCAAATGTATGTCTTATTTTTTCTTGACCTGCTGTAAGTCTGCAAATCTCCCCAGCTGCCATAGCAGGGAGGGGACAAGACACACCGTTAGCTCGGGAGCAAGGCGAAGGAAGGAAAACTATTTATCTTCATTCTTTTTATGTGTATGGGTGTTTTGTCTACATGTCTGTCTGGGCCCTGTGTCTGTGTGTCCGGTGCCTGAGGGGGCCAGAAGAGTGTGTTAGGTCCCCTGGGACTGGAGTCCCGGGCAACTGTGAGGCACCATATCTGTGGATACTGGGAATCGAACCTTGGTCTCTGGAAGACCAGTAAGTGCTCTTAACTGCTGAGCCCTTTTTCTAGCCCCAGGAGACTCTCTATGAAAAACAGAAGAGAGAAGCTATGGATGGGACAAAGCCCTGGTGTTGACAGACAGACACACAGTAGTCCAGCAGTGGGAGACACCGAGCTTCAAGGAAAACTGACACTGGATTCGAACCCAGCCTACACCACATCCCAGCTGTGTAACCCTTTACTGGTTTCGTTTCTTCCATCTCCATCATCTCCACCTTGTGAACAATGAGACCTGGCTCACGTGTTCCTTAGTTACACGACAGAACTTGGCCTGGGTGATGTGAGGTGCTCCAGGTAGCTTGACTTGGGCTTATGCATAGGAGATTTGGAGTTTTGCACCCGGCTTACAAAAATGTGACTTGGAGAAATGTCGCTTCCTCCTGTCTGGACTTCAGTGTCTCACTGTGATGCCGCCACTGAAGCCAGGAGGCCAGGAAGGCAAATCACACCCTTGAATGTAGTCTGAAGAAAGTATGCTTAAGGCTGGCGGTGGAGGTCAGCGGATGGAGTGCTCGCCGAGCATGCACGAAGCTCCGGGTTCAGCCTCCACAACCATACAGACTGGGTAGAATTGCACACAGCTGTGATCCCAGCACTCAGGCGGTGGTGGAGGCAAAGGATTAGCAAGCAGCTCCAGAACCTCCTTATTTACATATTAAATGCAAAGCCAGCCTGGGTTACATGATGTCGTGTCTCAAAAAAGAAAAAAAAAAAAGTGTACTCAGAAGAAAGAAAGAAACTAAATTAAAAGTGACATGGTCAGCCAGGTTGTGGTGGAGCTCACCTTTAATCCTAGCACATGGGAGGCAGAGGCAGGCAGATCTCTGTGAGTCTGAGGCTAGCCTGGTCTACAGAGCAAGTTCCAGGACAGCCAGAGAAAAGTTCCAGGACTACACAGAGAAACCCTGTCTCAAAACAAAACAAAAACCAAGGTCTGTGAGGGGGCGGCGCTGGAGAGATGGCTCAGAGGTTAAGAACACTGGCTGTGCTTCCGGAGGTTCTGAGTTCAATTCCCAGCAACTACATGGTGGCTCACAAGCATCTGTAAAGAGATCTGGTGCCTTCTTCTGGTGTGCAGGCAGGCAGGCAGGCAGGCAGGAAGGAAGGAAGGAAGGAAGGAAGGAAGGAAGGAAGGAAGGAAGGAAAGAAGGAAGAAAAATGGTGATATGCGGGCTGGAGAGATGACTCAGTGGTTAAGAGCATTGACTGTTCTTCCATGGGTCCCAGGTTCAATTTTCAGCACCCATATGGCAGCTCACAACTGTCTGTAACTCCAAGATCTGACACCCTCACACAGACATACATGCAGGCAAAACACCAGTGTATATAAAATAAAAATAATGTTTTTTTTAAGTGATATGGTGGTATGTACCTATACTTCCAACATTTAGGAGGTGAAACAGGCAGACTGAGAGTTTGGGCTAGCCTTGGCTATATACTGAGGTCTTTTCTCAAAAAATAAAGGTGGGCCGGGTGGTGGTGGCACACGCCTTTCATCCCAGCACTTAGGAGACAGAGGCAGGCAGATCTCTGAGTTCAAAGCTAGCCTGGTCTACAGACTGAGTTCCATAGACTCTTACATAGAGAAAGCCTGTCTCGAAAAACCAAAAGAAATAAAAAATGAAAGTTAATAAACAAAGATGGATGAAAAGGAAAGAAACCGAATTAACGGATTATATGGGTCTCAGTCTTGCTATGCACGTGTTTTATGCTTTATCTCAAAGGAATCATCTGTCCATTGAGGAAGTCAGCGAACTACAGTCCACAATGGCTGTGAAATCTGGAGGCTCCTGCAGTCGGAATGGTAAACACGCTTCCTTTGAAGTGGATGCTGAGCCCAGAAGACTGTTCAGACACGTTCTAAAGAGTCTTCAAGGGCTGGAGAGATGGCTCAGAGGTTAAGAGCATTGTCTGCTCTTCCAAAGGTCCTGCGTTCAATTCCCAGCAACCACATGGTGGCTCACAACCATCTGTAATGGGGTCTGGTGCCCTCTTCTGGCCTGCAGGCATACATACAGACAGAATATTGTATACATAATAAATAAATAAATATTTAAAAAAAAAAAGTCTTCAAGCCCCAGGGCTCTTAGCTTAGGGAAGACTGGTGGCTAGGAGAGGATGGGATCCTGTGCTCTGTGAATGCAATTCTTTTTAAAACATCTTCTTAGATTTTTAAAATTTTACGTGTGAGTTTTGCCTAGATATATGTATATATGCACCGAAACCTGGATCCTCTGCAAGAGCAACAAGTGCTCTTGGTTGCCGACTCAACTCTCCAGTCCGTTTGAATGTAATTCTGAAGGTGACATTTCTTCACCACCACCACCCTTTCACGAGGACTCATTGTACCCCAGGTCTTTTGTTTTTTTCTTGCTACTTAGGGAAGGATCTAGGGCAGGGTTCTCAACCTGTGGATTGCAACCCCTCTGGGGGTTGAATGACCCTTTCTCAGGGGTTACCTAAGACCAGAGGAAAACACAGGTATTTACAATCTGATTCATAACCACAGCAAAATTACAATTATGAAGTAGCAACAAAAACAAGTTTATGGTTGAGGTCACCACAACATGAGAAATTGTATTAAAGGGTCGCAGCATTAGGGAGGTTGAGAACCACTGATCTAAAGAACTGCACATTCTGGAGTGGAAGGAAGGGTTGGCGGCTGTTCATGCCGTCAAATGGGACAGGCTAGGCAGCCTTCTTTGCTCCTGTTCTAGGACCCAACCACAACCTCACTTTCTCCTTAGAAATTCAGAAACTGTACAAGGAAGTTGTTGGAATAAGTTCAAATCTAACAGCTTTCAAGATCAGAACAAACTTTCATCCTAACTGTGGGTCCAACCTCCAGGGCACTCAGCCGCTAATCGTCATTTTATTTTACAGGCAGAGCCTGTGTTGTCTCAGCCTTGGACACACCCTTTACCTTTTGCTCTCCGAACAGTAGGAAGAAATATAGAAGGTAACACGGGAAGGGAGAGCGGCAGCCAGGGAATCAGGGAGAAGAAAGAACAGTGGGATGCAGAGAAGAGACACAAGTAGCAAGTAGTGGGGACTTACTCGGCAGGAAGACACCAGGTCCTAGGGAAGAAGTGGAAGTCCTTAGGAAAGAGCTTTAGCATACGACTCATATTCCGGGCCAGCAAGTCCTTGCGACAGATCTCACTCATGCCAGGAAAATGATTGATTTTCTGCAAAGGAAGCCGGAATTCACGAGCAGTTCTGGCTGCGTGGAAGCGGGGTTGCGGGAGGGCCGTGGTCAAAATGAGGTCAGCTTTGGCTAGATGCCACCCATCCGGGGAGGGACGCACCTGGTAACTCTTCATTTCCATCACGCGCTCGAGCGACACCGAGTAGTCGGTCCAGTAGAGAGTCCAGTCCTCACTGTCACCGGCCTCTCGAAGGCCATACTGCTGGGCAGCCCTGCGCACTGTGAGGTGTTAAAGGAAGAAAGGGCTGCGGGTCACAGAAGCAGGCATGGGCTCCATGCGCTCCCAGACCGAGTTTTGCAACAAGAGAGCTGGCTCCTGGGGACCGGAAGCCATCTTGCCTCGTGGGCAGGGCAGTGAAGGGGTGTAACAGTGGTAATATCCCGGGCTGTGTGGGATGGATGTCAGGCCTAGCCTGGCTTCCCTTTCCCAGGATGCAGGCCTCTGGCTTGCCTCCAAACACTAACCCCTGAATGTAGGGCGATCCTTAGCCATAATCTAGAGCCAGGCTTAATCCGTGAGATAAACTGGTCGGGAGAAAACACAGTGAGTCTCGGGCTAGCCTGAGCTACCTAGTGAAACCCTGTCATAAATACATACATACATAAATTACGACTATAGGTGGTGCACGCCACTGTGGCCCAAACCTGCGACTCTTAGAATGAGATTTCCCAGTTTCCTCTAACAGTCTGTGGAGCCAGGAGAACCAAGGATTTGAGGCCCTGTTTTTCACCCTCGGGGAACACACAGAGGTGACCCATTCCCGCCCTTCGGTCCCCAGCCTGGATCCCTTGAACACAGATGCTCACCACTGTCGTACCGGCAGTTGGATAGATTGATCACCAATCATCTGGAAAAGAGAAAAGGGCAAACAGCAAGACAGAGACAGATCCCCTGACCAGAACAGGGGGCTGGAACCAGACACACATGTCCCAGCTGTCACAGGGAGCCTGCAGGGCCTACCCATCCCATCACTGAGGATGGGGGTGCAAAGGGGCACGGAGTGGCAGGAACTGTGGACTTATCTATTCTGTTATTATTTGTATATACTTACACATTCTGTTACTGTCTATAAATTACAATTGGGTTAATTTTGCTTTCAGCTTCATGTTAGCATCATTGCCCACACCCCCTTTTTAATTTTGTCAGGATTGGAATTTGAACCCAGGCCCTCCCACCCAAAAGGTAAACAGTCTTTAACTCCAAGCTACATTCCCAGGGTCCCTCTGCTTTTTACACCATCAGCCCGACAGGGACAGGGATTTTTAAAATCACACATTTTGGCTAAAATATTGTCTCCTTCTTCTCTCCCCACTAAGGGACGCTATTTAAACAGTAGAGGAGCACAGCCGAGTGTGAACCCAGAACCAGAGTGGACAAGCTGCAGCCGGGGCTGGAAGTCACCCTGCTCCCGTTTCTCTGGAAGTAAGTCAAATTCCCAGGACCTGCGCGCGCCCGCGCTGCGCTTACACTCCTTCAGCAAGGAGCTCCCTCCCCACCCAGTCTTTAAAAAGCACTTACACACAAACAGCGCGAACACTCAAACAAGGTGTGACTCCAGGTTATACACGCTATTATGAGATTCCATAAAACAGAACACTGAGCGTGGCTTCTGTTATGTCAACTGAAAGCAGTGTGATCTTGACAAGCCAAGCCCGTGGAGTCTCCTCCTCTCAGCCGCCAAGGCCCTCTTCCCTCCGGTCCTTCCTGTTCTCATCAACACTGACCCCGTCTCCATCCCCCCCCCCCCTCGTTTCCCGATACTAACCTTTTTCTCTTCCTCTTCTTCTTGCCAAGCTGCTGGGCATTCTGAAGCCTCTTTTGTGTGTTCTCTCTCACAAAAGCCAGGGTGACGAGTTCTCTCAGCTCTTCTAGATCTTCTGTGGAACTACTGCTTTCCTCCCTCTCTTCGCCCCCTTCCTCACTTTCCGAAGTCAGGCACTGTGGCATCTTCCTAGCCCTGGAGGAGCCTCTGGGGAAACACCAGCCCTCCCTGGAGAGAGGGCAGAGCGAACGGAAGTTGCGTGGTTCCACCTGCAGAGGGCCCTCCTCCCCTGCTCCTCTGGGCGGTAAACCAGGGTTCCCAGACAACGGACAGTAGTTTATAAAAAATAAAAAATGCAGCCCTCTCCAGCTAAACTCTTGGTGCACGCCAATTCCACCTTTGCCAAGGGCTCTGACCTTGGGGACTCCCTTAGCCAACTGCGGCCTTGGTTTTGGCCATCTGGGGTTTTCGGAGAGAGGCTGAGCCGCTCCGCACGGTACCAGCTGGTAAACAAACTTATTATTAAAGCGTGTGTCTGGAGACAGCCTCAGAACTGAGCCTCAAGTTTTCCTAGCTAAGGGTATTGAGTCCCGAGGGTGCACTGGAGGCAGGCTGAGTCTGGTAACCGTAGCCAGGCTACATTCAGCAGGACGCAGGCATGAATTAGGGCACATAGGTGGTTGTAAATCCATGGATGTGGGTACGGAGCTGGAACGGAACTCAGGGCTTCTGGAAAACTAGTACCTGCTCTGAACTGCTGAGACATCTCTCCAGCCCCCGAATATATATTAAAATATATCCAGTGTTCAGCCTCCACAGCTCTTCAGGAACGCACTTAGTCCACCCTCTACCTAAATCAAGTCTTTGGGCCCCATTCAGATTACACCCTAATAGGCAAGGCTCCTATGGCCATAAACTACTCCCGCTTCCTCTCTTCCTCCCCCCACTAACCTCAGCACCCCAGCCCCTCTCCTTTGATGGCCACAGGCCTTTTGCTCCTTGCTACCTGTTCTGTTCACACACTTGCTACCTGTTCTATTCTTTGGATTGAAAAGGGAAAAAAGATTATTATCATTCAGATTATTAGTGCAATCATGTTAAAGATGACCTTAAAAATGAGAGGGCAGCTGGGTGATGGCAGTACACGTCCTTAATCCCAGCACTCGGGAGGCAGAGGTAGGCAGATGTCTGTGAGTTCGAGGCCAGCCTGGTCTACAGAGTAAGTTTCAGGACAGTCAGGGTTACACAGAGAAACCCTGTCTTAGAAAACAAACAAACAAACAAAAACAACCAACGAAAAAAGGAAGGTAGACACCACCTGTGGCTTGCCTACTCTAACAAAGCAACTTTGCCTTGGCTATGAATTCTCTTTAATTCTTAAATTCTAATTGTAATTATTCTGACATTATATTAACTATTTTGTTTTGTTTTGTTTTTGGAGACGGTTTCTCTGAAGCTTTGGAGCCTGTCCCTGAACTAGCTCTTGTAGACCAGGCTGGCCTCGAACTCACAGAGATCCGCCTGCCTCTGCCTCCCGAGTGCTGGGATTAAAGGCGTGCGCCACCACCGCCTGGCCTTATATTAACTATTTTTAGGGCTTCTTTCTGCCCATTTAATGTCACACCATAAAGGCAAAGGCCCATTTATGTTGGCAAAATTTGCATGTCCCTAGAGGTGAGTTTGGATTCAAACTCAGGTAGTCAGGCTTTTGGTGACACACACTTAACCTGCTGAGTCATCTTAATGGCCAGCATATTCCTGGCTTTTAATGGCTATGAAACATTCTATAGAAGGAATGTGCCTAAAGTAAAACAATCCTTTCCTTATTATTGGACAAATAAGTTGCTTCCAATTTTGATGTTATCCAAATATCCTAAAACACATTGTCAAGCTGGGGGTGGTAGCTAGGGTCTGGGCTACTACAGAATATGAGGCAAGAGGATCCCTGAACCCCATCTCCTAAAGAAGAAAAACAAAAAACCACATTTTCATGTACAGAGGGTCTTTTACTTCTTTGGGGATTATTTTGTCTCTTGTTTGTCTGTTTGTTTGGGACAGAATCTCACTATATAGCCCAGGCTGGCCTGCAACTCATGGCAATTCTCCTTTCTCATTCCCCCCAAAGGCTGGAGTTACAGGTGTGTACCCCCACACCCAGCTTTTGAAGTTGATTCTTGAGCCTGCAATTCCTAGCACTTGGCAGGTGGCTGCAGGAGGATCAGGAGTTCGAGATCATCCTCAGTGAAGTCAGTAGAGGCCAGCCTGGACAATGAGTCTCTGTCTTCAAACAAAAGGCAATATTCAGGGATGAAATGGCTCAGAGGGTTATGTAGCTCCTGGTTTTGTGTGTGTGTGTGTGTGTGTGTGTGTGTTCACCATGTTCCATCCCAAGGGAATTTGAACCATTTCAGCTAACTATCTTCAGCAGCCGGCAATTACAGCAATCTCACCAGGGCCCCTGGATCTCCTAGGAATCATCTCCCTTTTCCATCCACACTCGCTAGTTTTGGCAACCCCTCATGTCTTTGACACCACGGCACCCTTCCCCTTTGCCTGACCCTAACCTGGTGATGACAGGTAAAACTCTGACTATGAAGGCCACCTATGAATAATTTCACCATGACCCGCCGTGCGACATATTGCTGCGACTTTGCCAAGGATTTTCAAATACAGCTCCTGAGTAAATAAATGCCCACCACCATCCCTGGGAAGGAGGACACGACTGGCCAAGGGTTGTGCTTATTCCTTCACTCTTGGAAAACATGGTTGCCCTCAGGACAAACGACCGAGAAGACCTCGGCTGGTCATATGAGTCAACGTCCCCAGTGAACTTGGCACCATTCAAGAGAACAGGGGAACGTCAAGTCTTGGCCTTGGGCTGCTCCCTTCCTCACAGGAACGACCAGTTCCACTCCCCAGGCCTTCAACAATGTGCCTCTTTACCAAGCCCTTGTGCAGGAGTGGCTCGTTTACCTAAAGGTTAATGTTAACTTGGGGAAAAACTGACCCCAAATTTGAACTCTGGAGTTGTGGGTTGTTGTTGCCTTTTTTTAGGACCTTGCCCCAAGTGGTAAGAGTACATCACATCTGCCTCAAAGAACAGAACATGAAGGTGTTAAAAAAAAAAAAAAAAAAGCAGTTGTGGGGCTGCAAACCATGAATTCTAGAGTAGAGTGGCTTAAGTGATGGGGCCCCGTGACAAACACACACAGTCAAACTTCGTTTGCTCTTGTGTGGCAGAGCCCCAGCACACAGAACAGGAGACCAAACCAATGCACTCCTGCCTCCATCGGGCCTGGCCTGTAGCCTAGGCTACACACAAGAGCCACCTAGGGGGAACCTGAGACAGGTGCAACATGGCAAACAACAGTCCTTGCTACATGAAAATGCCCTTTCTTTCTTCGTGTAAATTAGCTTGGTCCCTTTCTTCAGGTGTATCTATTTATTTATTTACATATTTATATATTATGTATGCAGTGTTCTGCCTGCAGGCCAGAAGAGGGCACCAGATCTCATTACAGATGGTTGTTCGCCACCATGTGGTTGCTGAGAATTGAACTCAGGACCTCTGGAAGAGCAGCCAGTGCTCTTAACCTCTGAGCCATCTCTCCAGTCCTCATTTATTTTCATTTTATGTGTATGGGTGTTTTGCTTGCATCTATTTGGGCAGCCCATCTGTGCAGTGCCTGTGAAGGCCAGAGGAGGGCAGCAGGTTCTCTGGAACTGAACTTAAAAATAACTGTTAGCTGCCACAGGGATGCTGGAAACCAAACCCAGATCCAGTACGCCCAGCCCAGCCATGGTGGTTGTTGTTTCTTGGCTCAGATTCCCAAGAGTTAGGATTACAGATGTGAGCCACCATGTCCCCCCCCTTCCCTTGTTTTCTCTCCCCTTAGATGCTACAGTTGCTCAGGAGGAGTACTTTCCAAGTAGAAAATGCACATTTTTATTAAAAACACAGATTCCTATTTCTCTTGTCAAAGTAGGTCTACGTTCCTTCATGCCAACAATTACGAGCAGCCGAGTGACTCCTTAATATTTCTTTCACATTTTGGTAGTGTCTGTGACACAGAAACCACGTGGCAAGTAGCTGTTTACAGCAGCACTCAAAGAACTGACTTTTTGGTCTGTGCATATGTGGGGTGTGTGTGTGTGTGTGTGTGTGTGTGTGTGTGTGTGTGTGTATGCACACTTGTTTGTGCAGGTGCACCTGCCCATGTGTGCATGTGTAGAGGTCAGAGGTCAATGTCTTCCATTGCTCACCACTTCATTTTTTGAGGCAGGGTTTCTCACTGAAGCTGCAGCCTGCCATTTTGGTTCACCTGGCTGGCCAGTGAGCCCGAGATCTGCCCGTGCTGGGATCACAGATGCACTGGGGGACTCGGGTCCTCATGGTCACCCAGACTCCAAGTGCTGGGATTACAAGCTTGTACTACCACACTTAGATTCAAACCCCCCCTTTTTAAAGTTTTTTTTAAATTTTTTTTAAAAACTTTTTATTTTATGTATGTACAGGGGTGTGTGTGTGTGTGGAGGTCAAAGAACAACTTTATTGAAAACAGTTCTCTCCTTCAAACATGTGGATCTCAGGGATTAAAGTTGGGTCACCAGGTCCTTTTGCCTTCTGAGCCACCACCCACCCACTCCTCTCTTTCTTGACCATGGTGAGTGTATTCGTTTTCTCATAATAGCTGGAACTCTATGTAGCAGTAGGTGGCCTTCAATTCAAAGCCCCTGCCTCAGCCTCCTGAGGCTGGGATCATAAACTGAGCCACCGTGCCTGACCTGATTTCCTCACTGTCACTACAGGCCTGACTACATCACAGACGAACTTACTGGGGTTTTTTTTGTTTGTTTGTTTGTTTGTTTTTTGTTTGTTTTGTTTTGGTTTTGGTTT